TCATTGTGGTACTGTTAATTGTAGTATAGTACAATACTATTAATACCCATTTCTTAGTATTTTTGTCCCTGTAGGAGCATGTGGGCTCAACCACGTCCATCAACTTGGTGGGAAGTTGTTAACAGGTCCTGGGATGAAACATATTGGCAAAGAAACTTCAGGATGACAAAAACCTCATTTCTGCATCTTTGTGACATCCTCCGACCACGTTTGACACGCCAGCACACTAGATATTGTAGTCCACTTCCTGTTGAGCTGCGGGTTGCAATTTGTCTGTGGAGGCTTGCAACAAATCTGGAGTATCGCTCCATGTCCCTCCTGTTTGGCGTGGGCGTCTCTACAGCCTGTAGTGTCACACAACAGGTTGTTACTAATGTTGTAATGAAACTAGGGATGCACCGATCTGCATTTTTTTTTACTTCTGATCAGATCCCAATACCTAAAACTAAATATCGTCCGATACTGATCCAGTTCCGATACCAAAATCATCGTTGATTTTATATGAGGTTGTAATAATCTCCTCTCAAGTACAATTTGTACAAATATATGCATGCATGTTCAAAAAGGCAACATGAGGTAAGTTTTGTTAATGTTGGATAAGTTTTAATGTTAGAATTAAATTCTGCTAACACAAAACATGTTTTTTATTCCTAGCTTTAGTGGCAGGAGTTTTTGTGTAAAGGTTGGTAATAATGGATCCACTTCAATGCCTCTTTCTTGCGGGGTCCCACAGGGTTCGATTATTGGACCACTTCTGTTCTCACTCTATTTTCTCCCACTGGCGTCCATCCTGAGGAAATATGGTCTTTCATTCCATTGCTATGCTGATGACTGCCAGATCTACCTGCCTGTGAAACCAGCAAGTGTTTGCTCCATGCACCCTCTGTTAAAATGTCTGGACGACATTAAGGCCTGGATGGCTTCAAATTTCTTAAGTTTTAACAATGAGAAGACTAAAGTCATTGTCTTTAGCCCTAGCTCAACTGTTGCCACTGATCCTGTCAACCTGGACTCTCTTCAGCCATATCTTAAGCAGTCTGGTAAAAATTTCGAGATGGTTTTAGACTCTGACTTCAAGTTTGACAAACAAATCAACTCTGTTCTGCAGAAAAGCTTCTTCCAACTAAGACAGGTAGCTAAGTCCGATTGGACTATTGCAACGCACTCTATGCTGGGGTCAGCCAGGCCTCCATTTCACATCTTCAGCTCGTCCAGAATGCTGCTGCTCGGCTTTTAACCAGAACTCGTAGGTCTGAACATATTACACTAGTTCTGTCCTCCCTTCACTGGCTCCCTGTGCGTACCAGAATAGTCTTTAAAATTCTTCTGTTGACCTTCAAATGCTTAAATGGTCTCGCACCCCTTTACCTCTCTGAGCTTCTGGAACCTTACGTTCCCTCTCGGGCCCTGAGATCATCCGATCAGCTGCTTTTGGCTGTTCCAAAAACAAGAAGCTCAGAGGAGATCGGGCTTTTCAGTCATGGGCCCCAAACTCTGGAACAACCTGCCCCCCAACATCAGGCAGACCGCCTCCCTTCCTCACTTCAAATCTGTGCTGAAAACACATCTGTTCTCTCAGGCATTTCATACAGTGTAAATTGATTTAGTCGTTTTTTTTTTTTGTTCTGTGATTCTATGTTTTAAATGATTTTTATTAATTCTTCAGTTATTATTATTAGTGTATTGTATTTTTTCATAAATTTTAATCCCAATGATGTTGTTAAGCACTATGATAACAGGTTCTGTTTTAAATGTGCTATGCTGGTGAAGATTCTCAGTCATCCAGGACATGATGAATTCAAAAAGCGTTCAATACAAAAACAACTGGACTTTATTTGTAACAGAAGACGTTTCGCTCCTCATCCGAGGAGCTTTCTCAATTCAAACAGCAGTGAGTGAGAGATTGTTTTAAATGTGCTCTATAAATAAAGTTGACTTGACTCTGCTCAGTCAGACCTGGGCTCGGTCCACTCTTCCTCTTCTAATGATCTTCCTCTTCATCACCCACCAACTCACTCACCCCCCCCCCCCCCCCCGCTCTCCTGACCATCTCGCACTGAACTCCATTCAACTTCCACGTCTTTTTCTTATTTTTCCTGTAGATTATTTGGTGCTTTACAAATAACGTGGAGCCTCCGTCAGAAAGGAGGGGGGAGGTTGTTTATGTGTTCAGGTGGAGGGGTGGGGGCTGCAGTTTCTTGATGTAACACACTTGAGATTTGACGTTTTTCAGAAAAAAGATGTGGAGTGGATTATTTATCATAGCTCTGATTTTACTTGGCCTATCAACAACGTCTTTCATCTTTTGGATGAAAGACGAAACGTATCTACATTTTTTTGCTTTGTTTTGTTTTTTGTTTTTTTGAATGTCCAGAGGACCAGACTGAACTTTTTTGGATTTTTCTACCTGGATTATTGAGCATGCATCAAGATATATGAAGTCACATGCACACACCTGCTTGCTTTTCTAAGACCCGCCTTCCTGTTAGTAATTGGTCCAGACAACGTGAGCTTCAATGTGATTGGATGTAATCCCTGTCTATCAATTAAAGTTAAGTTGAGGCGGACCGGCGGGCTGTCTCACTCTCAAGCCGGAAATCTAGCCCCTGGCCGGAGCGTTTTAAGCCCTACTGTTAACGTGTTTTCACAAAAGGACTGGCAGAACTGAAACAGCTTCCTCTCGGGCACGCTTGTAGTGGTAAGCTAGCGTGCACCACAGAGGTGTCTCCCCCTCCTCCCCCCACCCTGTTGACAAAAATCCCTGAAGAAATGAGCAGCTGCTAAGCCATGTTACCGAGGAGGAACACTGTTTCTAAAAGGGAAATGATGCCATCCACCTCACCTCTGACACCCCCACCCCCCAAAAAGCAAGCTCTTCAGATCTAAATGATTCACATAAATGACACATTTTAGATTGAAATCCGCAAATTTCGTCAAAAAACGACAAGTTTGCAGGTACGTGGACAAACGACAGAAAAGAGAAACAACCGTCCAGAGGACCTGACCTCGTTAGAAACTTCTTCGGTGCATTCTCACGTTCAAAAGTTTTGGTGGCTTTTCTACTCATTTCTGCTTCCCATTAAGAAAAGGGAGTGGTTTAGTTCCACACAGATGTTCTGGAGTAAACATCGTATCTGCGACAGATGTCTGATGAGAAACTTCAGATCGTATTTATCCCTCTGAATTGTTCTTACCTGCTTGGGCAGGTGAAACATGCTGTTTTTCAGGAACATGTTTTTAGCCTGACTCCATGTGCCGTCTATGATGATCACGTTGTATCCGATGCTGACGACCTCGCGGTATTGGACCAACTCCTCCAGGTTCTGGGATTTGGGACCAGGGTACAGGATAAGCGTTTTGTCATCGTGACACACAGCAGCTAGCTCCGGGTGCCTACGTTTACATTCAGTACACAACACATCAGCATTTTGAAGAATATTTTGAAGTACTAATTTAAGTACTGTTACTTACTTTTCTTCGCTGAACTTTCTTCCGACTATAACTTTGCATTTAGCGTGTGGCAAACAAGCAGCAAGAAGAGGCACGGTCCGAAGAACCCGGCTTTCCTGACGGTAGAGCAGAGTCAAACGTTCATTTGATTTACAAACCGGATTCCAAAAAAGTTGGGACACTAAACAAATTGTGAATAAAAACTGAATGCAATGATGTGGAGATGGCAAATGTCAATATTTATTCATAATATAACATAGATGACAGATCAAAAGTTTAATCTGAGTAAATGTAACATTTCAAAGGAAAAATATGTTGATTCAAAATTTCACAGTGTCAACAAATCCCAAAAAAGTTGGGACAAGTAGCAATAAGTGGCTGGAAAAAGGAAACTGAGCATATAACGAACAGCTGGAAGACCAATTAACACTAATTAGGTCAATTGACAACATGATTGGGTATAAAAAGAGCTTCTCAGAGTGTCAGTGTCTCTCAGAAGCCGAGATGGTAAGAGGATCACCAATTCCACCATTGTTGCGCAGAAAGATAGTGCAGCAATACCAGAATGGTGTTACCCAGCGTAAAATAGCAAAGACTTTTAAGTTATCATCATCAACCGTGCATAACATCATCAAAAGATTCAGAGAATCTGAAACAATCGCTGTGCGTAAGGGTCAAGTGGAGAGCATCCTGTGCTCGAGCATCAACGTGTGGCATGGAGGCTGCACAGCTGCAGAAAGAAAAGCTTTGCAGAGAGTGGTGAAGGCTGCACAGAAGTCTGTTGGAATCAGTCTCCCCACCATCACAGACATCTACACCTCCAGATGCAGGAAGAGGGCCACCTGCATCATGAAGGACCCCACCCACCCAGCACACACACTTTTTGCCCCACTCCCCTCAGGAAGGAGGTTAAGGAGCATTAAGTGTAGAACCACTAGACTGAGGAACAGCTTCTACCCTGAGGCTGTTAGACTCATGAATCTCTAACTAGAATAATCACTGTGAAAAACCACATCATGTTGCTGCTGATCTGTTTCATGTTGCTGCTGATCTGTTTCAATGTTGATGTGTTCATGCGTGCACATCTGCTCACAGACTCATGTTCATGTTTGTGCTGATGTTCAATGTTTTATGTTATGAGTGCTTAGTGTATATTTAGTTGATGTTTTTCTTAGTTCATATCTTAGATGTTATTACTGTTTTTCTTATACATTTTATTGTTGGATGTAACTGGGACCTTGTGTACATAATTTCGCTCCACCACATGTACCACATGAGGTGCGAATGACAATAAAGAAACTCTGACTCTGACTCTGACTCAAGGCCGTAAAACTCTACTGGATGCTCGTGATCACCGGGCCCTTAAACGTCACTGCACCTGAAACAGGAATGCCACTGTCAAGGAAATAACAGAATGGGCTCAGGAATACTTCCAGAAAGCATTGTCAGTGAACACAATCCACCGTGCCATCCGCCGTTGCCAGCTGAAACTCTACAGTGCAAAGAGGAAGCCATTTCTAAGCAAGCTCCAAAAGCTCAGACGTTTGCACTGGGCCAAGGGTAATTTAAAATGGAGTGTGGCAAAATGGAAGACTGTTCTGTGGTCAGATGAGTCACGATTTGAAGTTCTTTATGGAACACTGGGACGCCATGTCATCCGGACCAGAGAGGACAAGGATGACATGGCACCCCAGACCATCACTGACTGTGGGTGCTTCACACTGGACTTCTGGCATTTTGGCATTTCCTTCTCCCCAGTCTTACTCCAGACTCTGGCACCTTGATTTCAGAATGACATGCAAAATTTTCTTTCATCCGAAAAAAGTACTTTGGACCACTGAGCAACAGTCCAGTGCTGCTTCTCTGTAGCCCATGTCAGGCGCTTCTGCCACTGTTTCTGGTTCAAAAGTGGCTTGACCTGGGGAATGCGGCACCTGTAGCCCATTTCCTGCACACGCCTGTGCACAGTGGCTCTGGATGGTTCTACTCCAGACTCAGTCCACTGCTTCCGCAGGTCCCCCAAGGTCTGGAATCGGCCCTTCTCCACAATCCTCCTCAGGGTCCGGTCACCTCTTCTCGTTGTGCAGCGTTTTCTGCCACACTTTTCCCTTCCCACAGACTTCCCACTGAGGTGCCTTGATACAGCACTCTGGGAACAGCCTATTCGTTCAGCAATTTCTTTCTGTGTCTTACCCTCTTGCTTGAGGGTGTCAATGATGGCCTTCTGGACAGCAGTCAGGTCGGCAGTCTTACCCATGATTGCGGTTTTGAGTAATGAACAAGGCTGGGAGTTTTTAAAAGCCTCAGGAATCTTTTGCAGGTGTTTAGAGTTACGTCGTTGATTCAGATGGTTAGGTTAATAGCTTGTTTAGAGAACCTTTTCATGATATGCTCATTTTTTGGGACAGGCATTTTGGGTTTTCATGAGCTGTATGCCATAATCATCAGAATTAAAACAATTAAAGACCTGAAATATTTCAGTTGGTGTGCAATGAATCTGAAATATATGAAAGTTTCATTTTTATCATTACATTATGGAAAATAATGACCTTCATCACAAGATGCTCATTTTTTGAGGTGCCTTGATACAGCACTCTGGGAACAGCCTATTCGGGCCTGGGAGGCGGCGCAGACGGAGAAGGGAGAGGAAGCAGAAGCGAGGCTGCAGGTCTGGCGTTATGCTAAGGCTAAGATCACAACCCCACAAGCCACCTCTACCAAGCCTTTATCTCTCTAATGCTAGATCCCTGGTGCATAAAACGGATTATTTGGAATTGCAACTCGCTGGAAATCGCTATGTTCGTGACTGCTATGTTCTGATTATCACCGAAACCTGGCTTCACCCCGGGATACCCGATGCTAGCATACAGCTAGCAGGCCGCTCTCTGCTACGCGGGGACAGGACTGCGGACTCCGGTAAGAGCAGAGGTGGGGGGCTCTGTATTTATGTGCATGAGAACTGGTGTAATAACGGGACAATTATAGACAATCACTGTTCCCCAGACCTTGAGTACATGTCCGTGAGATGCCGACCTTTTTTCTACCAAGAGAGCTAACAGTTGTGATAATTACTGCTGTGTATATACCACCCGATGCTAATGTAAATACGGCGCTCTCTCTCCTGCTGAACACCATCAATGAACAGCAGCGGGCTCACCCCGACGGTGTTCATATAATTGCAGGAGATTTCAATAGGGCTAATCTGAAGACTGTACTCCCAAAATTCTACCAGCATGTTAAGTGTTCTGCTAGGGGGGAGAATACTCTGGACCATGTTTACTCGAACATTAAACATGCATACAGAGCCATACCCCTCCCCCACCTCGGGCAGTCAGACCATCTTTCCCTCCTGCTCCCCCCAGCTTACACCCCCCTCAGACGCAGAGCAAGGCCTACAACAAAAACTGTTACAATCTGGCCTGGTAATGCACTCGATGACCTACAGGACTGCTTTGAACAAACTAACTGGGACTTATTTGAACATCAGGAAATGGAAACATACACACAAGAACAGTACTGGACTACATCAACTTCTGCATCGGAAATGCGACTATGGTCAAAAACATTCGTGTTTACCCCAACCAGAAACCATGGATGACCAGCCAGGTTCGCACACTCCTCAGAGACCGCGACGCTGCCTTCAGGTCAGGTGACAGAGCTCTGTACCGAGCTGCTCGAGCCAACCTGAATAAGGGAATAAAAACTGCAAAGGCTGACCATAAAAGGAGTATAGAGTCCCATCTGTCCAGTAACAACTCACGGGAGGTGTGGAAGGGCATAAAAAAAAAATCACAAACTATAGAGGCTGTGAGGTGACAACAGGAGACCTGAGTGCATCACTAGCAGAGGAGCTAAACTGCTTCTTTGCACGCTTTGATGCACCACAGCAGCACCCATCTGATCCTGCCCTGCCCCCACACCCACCCGGTTACTGCACCACTCCACTCACTGTACGGGAGCATGATGTTAGACGTTCCCTCCAATCAGTGAACCCCAGGAAAGCTAATGGCCCAGATGGAGTACCTGGCAGGGTGCTCAAAGCATGTGCCTTCCAGCTCGCCCCCACCTTCACCAGAATTTTTAATCTCTCCCTGGCCCAGGCTGTCATCCCTCCCTGCTTAAAATCTGCAACCATCATCCCAGTGCCGAAAACGCCTACCATCACCAGCCTGAATGGTTACCGACCGGTGGCTCTCACCCCAGTAACCATGAAGTGCTTCGAGAGACTGGTTCTCCAGCACATCATGGACTATCTCCCTCCAAACTTTGACCCCTACCAGTTTGCATATCGCACGAACAGGTCCACAGAGGATGCTATTGCAGTAGCTCTCCACACCGCGCTGAGCCACCTGGAACAACAGCACAGCTATGTTCGAATGCTCTTTGTGGATTACAGCTCGGCCTTTAACACAATCATTCCGGACATTCTTATAAATACATTGGACAATCTCGGCCTCCCCCCATTCACAAGTGCCTGGATAAAAGACTTCCTAACCAATCGGCCCCAATCTGTAAGACTTGGTCCCCACCTCTCCTCCACTCGTACGCTGAGTACTGGCTCCCCACAGGGCTGTGTGCTGAGCCCCCTGCTGTACTGTCTCTACACCCATGACTGCAGCCCGGCCCACAACAACAACCTCATCGTCAAGTTCGCTGATGACACCACAGTGGTCGGACTAATCACTAATGCCCCTTTTCCACCGTCACGGCGCGGGTCGGATATTTCCGGCTTGAAGCGCGTTTGAGGTCTTTCCACTGTTCCTGTGACCGGCTCGCCTCGCTAAATTCTGGCCCGGCTTCTCAAGGGTTCCGAGCGAGCCGCGCCGTGACGTCAGAAACACTGTCGGTCACTGATTGGTCGGGGGGAGGAGTCTGTGGAGTCTTTCCAAACAACCCGATCCACCATTTTTTCTCTACCGCTTGCCATTAGCGATAACACGAGGAGCGTATCTTTTAGTATTTTGAAGCTATACAACAACAATAATATCAAAGCTGTGGTCAAATGCATAAGTGCAGGTGTTGTTGTGCTTGGTGGCTGTAGTGAACTTAATCTGGTGTCACGACTAAGCCTAAGGTCAAAACCCTTGACCTTAAGAACCTTGTGGGACAGAAACTG